AGGATTTTAAGAGGTGAGATAAAGAAAGAGAAGTTGAGTCAGGGAGGATAATATCATCAGCAGTTTTTGTTCAGAGGAGGCTGAGTAGGAGGTGAGATGACATTTTGTTCCATTAAACTACAGCTTCTCTATTTCTGCAGTGGCAACCCTCTATCTCCTCTTCTTAAGGTACTGTTGGTCTTTGGTTCTTATTACCATTGCTAACTCTAAGAGACGAGACAGTCCAAGTAACTTCAAAACAGTGCTGATTTATTCAAAGGATCACAGGTAAAATTAACATTACACGCTCAGGTATCTTGCACCTCCAAACTGCTCGCAGGCAGCTGTAAGATGAAAGACCCTGAACCCACCAGGCCTATACATTATATCCCCTCGGTTGGGCTAGCCCCATACTACACAGAAACGTCAACCGGGACTTTGTAGCTGGCCATAACAGTAGTCAAAACATGAAGTAAATCAATGTGTGAATGTGTGTGTCTGTTGATTAAGTGGTGTGTAGCTAAAAACATTCTCACGACCTCTAGTACATGTCGTGACATTAAACATAAGAACATATTATGGCTAAGGCTACAGTTATACACGTCATAATAATAATATTAAACATCCTGTCTGCTGACAGTCATCAGCTCTTCTCTCTAGTTATCCTTGACCAGATGTACCCTGTAGAAACTCATAAGCATGACTAAGCATTTAACAGTCTAACTAGACATCCTATCTCCACTAAACATTTCTAATACATAAAGTATCTATCCAGTATCTATCTGACTAAAAATACCTAACAGTACATGTGAGCGTGTGTTACCTGGGGTGAGGTGCAGGGAGGGCACATCTCCCTCCATCCCTGAGCTGAGTGCTGCTCGCTCGGCCATGGACTTTGGGCTGCTCAGAGACTCCTGGGGCTGATGAGGACAGACAAGGAGACTAAGGGGAGAACAGATTCTACCAGACATGTGGGCACAGTTGCCACACCTGCCCCTAAGGAGGAACTCAAGTTCATGCACCGGTGATAACATAACGGAAATCATTCTGACTTCATGTTTTGGGTTTGTATGAAAATGAATAATCTGCAGAGCGTGTTTGTTTGCGTTCGAGTGACATCACATTCTCACCTTGATGCTGTCGGAGTAGGACATTTGCCCATTCAGCAGGCTACCGCCGCTCACCGGTTTGGGCTCGCTGTAGGAGGCCGGTGACGGGGAACTGGATGACAAACTCATAGAGCTCAGTAAACTGGAACTGGTGTCCTTACTGAGGAGGGGGACAGGGGAGGAGAATGAGAGACGACTGGAGCAACAAAAACCTGCTTAGGTGTTTAAGGACTCATGTTGGTGAAGATTCAACTTAAATGTGGTGTAAGGATAAAATATATACAGTTCTGAACATTTATCCAGTTAATTCTGTCTTACAGTGGCAAGAAAAAGTATGTGAAGTAAATCCTTTCTAATGACCTGGATTTCTGCGTGAACTGGTCAAAAATGTGATCTGATCTTTTCCTAAGTCACAAGAACAGACAAACACAGTGTGCTTAAGATAACAATCCACAGTGATAATCTGGTGTCTTTACTGAACACATTCACAGTGTTGGTGTAAAACATAACTGAACCTGTTTAAATAACTGGTGGAACCTCTGAAACTGGTAGCTGTGGATGAGACATGCATAGTGTTCAGGACGGTTCTGGACCATTCGAACTCCAGGTTTGTTAATGTCATCAGCTGAGTTCATATACTATGTCCCACCTACACTGTCAAAGTTTGAATGATGAGTTCAGTATGGACAAGAACAATAGAAGGATTTGCTAAAACAGACCGTGTTTGTTCATAATTTGTTTACATATTTCTATAACAACAAACTGCTGGTGTAACTGCAGCCGGACTTAAATAAGGAACAAAAATTGTTCCTGTATTTTAGACGCCCTACATCAACCTGCTCCATCATACTCACAGCTGATTGGCAGTAGAGATCAAAGATGAAGGTTGGCTACTTTGTGATTGGCTGCCACTGTTGAGGGCGGGGTCCGTTGTGCTGTCTGCTACCACAGCACTGCAACCTGTAACACAGGATTTGATGGAAATGTCAAAGAAATGCAATGTTTTCAACTCTTTAGTTGTAAACACAGGAAGTAATCAACAGTAACAGCTGGGAGGGTTCACAATATTCTTAAGAAGTGGTGAGTACTCTAGTTCTACTGTCTAAATAATCTTTAATGTTTACAGCATTTTATCCTGTACAGAAGCAACTTTTCTGTTACTATGAGTAATGAAACTCGATGCTCATACAGGAAGCTAAGCATCAACAATGTATATATGCCAGTGTTTGTGTCTTCTGACTTCAGTAAAGGTTCAAATACTGTAGGTTACTCTGACTACTGACAAAAGTATTATCAAATGGTGCTTTAGTTAAGACATGCTGTGCTGATAGCATCTGCACTTAAAGCCTGTGACAAATATGTTACTGCTCTGGTAATCACTTGCTAATCAACTCATCAATCCTAGTTTGTGGCTGATACGTCCACAGCAGTGCAGTGTGTGGATTCTGGTGACACTATTATCAATTAATCATAGGTGATCCCTTACAGGATTTCCTTTTTAGTGCTTTAAATTTGTTCTAAAAAAACATTTCAATGCTTTTCCAGGCATGATGAGTTCTTCCAGAGGATCTATGGATGCTTTTGTCTTTCAGTTGTAAATGGGTCATGGAGAAAAGGGGCAAGGTTGTAGTTTTAGGCTTCAAGAGACTGTAACAATGTATTCTGCCATGTTTTAAGTATCATTAGATTGCCTCGTTTTCAGATACTCACTAGTGCTACCATTCTGCTTCTGTCGGCTCGGTGGTCTGACAGACAGCGACAAGTTTCCTCCCACCACACTGCTCCCTGCTGATCCCGAGCTGCTTCCGTTGCTCCCAATAACTCCTACTCCGCTACCTCCAGCTAAACCTCCTACTGGGCTCGGTGACAGCAGAGAGGACCCCTGCATCCCTGACTGAGTGGAGCCCAAACCTAGAACCCCAGAGGTGATGCTGCCGACCCCCGGCGCTGCACCCAGCAGACCTCCTGTTGAGGATGTCGGCCCGCCGACTGCAATACTTTCACTGCTGATGGATCCCACTGTGCTGTTGGTTGCTGTGGTGCTGACACCACCCAGAGAGCCTGGCAGGCCAGAGCCCACCTTACCTGAGGCAGCTGCCTGAGCGTAGAGTGCTGGAGTAGAGCTGGACAGGAGGCTTGTCATGGTGCTCAGGGATGCCGGCATCCCTGGCAAGCTGAGGCCCCCAGATATTGGGCTGGTGGTGATGGAGCCCGGCATAACTTTCCCCAGAGAGAGGCCCAGGCTGAGGCCCAGGCTGTTTGAGGCTGATGTGAGGCCCAATGGAGCCTGGGGCTGGGAGTTTGAACAGAGCAGTCCCTGTGTGCTGGCGTTGGGGGGAGAGGAGGCTGAGGAGGTGGTGTGGTTGTTGGTGGAGGTGATGGGGTTGGTGGTGGAGGAAGAGGAGCTCACTGAGTTTTTGGCCTGTTGCTGCTGTGCTGACGGGTGCAGCTGCTGCTGGGTGGCATTGCTGTAGCTGCCAACGGATGTGTTGATGAGGAGACCCCCCAAGCTTCCGTGATGACTGTTGCCTCCAGAGCCACTGCTTCCTCCCCCAGCAATGGTTGCCATAGAGACCAGTGAGGATGAGGTCAGTCCCGAGACAGAGGAGGAGGAGGAAGAGGAGGAGGAAGAGGACAACAAGGAAGAGGGGTTTCCGTTCTTCACAGGTGACTAGGAAAGGAATGAAACACTATTAACCAGTCTGTTGTAAATGAAAACCTGCATGATGCTCTGTGAGATTTGACAAACTGGATGATCAATAAATGGTCAGCTCTGTCAGAAAGTGTCAACAGTGCAGAGTTTCATTAGCAGACTGGTTTCACTAACTAGGAACTGATTACTCTGTGATAAAATCATTCAAGTATTCACCAAAGGACAGATTCAATCCAACCAGACGTGTGAACATTATAAAATTAACCAAAATAAACTTTAAGCCGCAAATAACAAAAACTAGGTGCTAGGCATAAAATGACGCAGGATTAAAAACAAACTTCACACAATGTCTAAACTACAATGTGAAATAAATGTATAATAATTTATTTCCTGGAATATTCTTGTTCTTGTTCCTGGAATATTCTTGTAAATTAAACATTTAGCAAAACCTGGACTCCTACGGCAGGAAAAATGCGAGACCTCTGTGAATGAAATTTAACACTTTATTATCTTTAAAACCAATGCTTTTTAAGACTTTTAAGGACCAACACATACTGTATATCCTGTAATGATACTGTACGCACAATTATTTAACTAATGGTGCCATTACAGTATACTGGGGATACTATAATGGTATAATTATTTTCATTATTCATTAATCTATCAATTAGTTTTTGCTTAAATGATTAATGTTCAGCCTCTGGCTTCAGATTTCCAGTCAACAGAACAAAACGTCATCTATAGGCTGATTAATCAATAAAGCAGCAGCTGCCTTCAGTGTCTTCAGACTCACCTGACTAACTTCACTGTCTGTCGAACGTCCTCTCTTCTTGTCGTCCTCTGAGTTTTCCTGAAAAACACAGAGGAAGAACAAAAATGACATTGAGAAACAAGAGCTCACTGCGCTGAAACGCTGCACCACAAAACTCATGAAACAAAAACCTTGTGATTATGCTCCTTTTAGTTTTCATCATGTATTTCCTCAGTTTGTATTTGAGCTTTTTACTCTTGTACTATAGAACACTTCATACAAACTTTGGTTCTACAAACCCATATCAGAAAAAGACTGCAGGAGGAATGGGACAAAATGACAGCTGACACACACTTGGGGTGTCCTCAGTCCCTAAACGCCTTTTAAGTGTTGTGAAAAGGAACAGCAGCATCACACCGTGGTAAACACTTTATTGTCCTGACTTTGTTTGGAATGTGTTGCAGTGTGTTTATTTTGAATAAAGAATAAAGTTGATGAGGTACCACACCAAATAATGTGCTGCTATATTATACAGGACACAGATGGTTTGCACGTCACTGTTTTAATTTTACACACTGTTCCAAATTTTTCTGATTTGGGGTTGTATGTGTTAGCCGTTTTATAGATTAAATATTCTTGTGCTGCTTCTGTGTTCTGGTGATTTTCCACTCTGGTGGACTGTAAAGTTGAAATATGATGATCAGCTTTCCTGCAGAGAGTTAGACGAGCAGATCGATAAACGTTGGCCCCTTAAATACATGCATGCCAAGGTTTGGGCAAATGCCTTTATTAATGTTTGAAGCAGGAAGAAGTAAAACAACCCCCACAGATATTAAGAAATGTATGGTCGCTTTTGATGCATGGGGGTGTAAATCAGTTTTGTGTTGCAGGTAGTAGCACATGAAACACTGCTCCAATAAATATTGGCCGATTTGAGATGCAGATGTTCTGCAGACAGAAAAGAAAACTAAATCAAATCTGGAAGCAGCCCCCACTGTCCCTTGACCTGAACACTGATAAAATCTGTGGGGAGGTCTTAAACATACTGCGCCTCAGAACTTCAAGTATTCTGCAGGAAGATTGACTGAAAATTTGTGAATAGAAAATGGAAAGACGTGTGCAAGCTGTGACATCTGCTAAAGGGGGGCGGGAGATTACTGACTTTTTGCATATAACACAATTGCCGTTTTTTTTTTGTATTTTTTTTTTAAGTTGATAAAATTTTACAAACCAGGATATGAAACTGACCCAGGCCTGACCAAACTGTTTCCTACAACCATCTGAATTACAAAGTTGCATGTGAGACATCTGGGATGCATACACTAGGTGTAGAAGACTGTGGCTGTGCAGACTAGAACTAAGTTTCAGTAAAGTGAAATCACAGCAAATTCCAGAAACCTTACCTGCATTAATCTAAAGTTAAACTATACCCAGTGAACTTCACCTAGCCCAGGAATTAATGCGGCATACTCCCTTTCATATAACTTGATGTCAGTGGCATTTAACAGCACCACGCCTTCTATTCAGACTCAACAGACCTATAATAACTACTCTCACTACATACTGTATGTGGGCGAGTAGGAAGAGCAGATGATAGAATGGCAATACAGAAGAACAATAGCAGCAGATGGCAGGGTGCTACAATAGCAGATACAAAGGCAATTATGTTACACTTATATTTTAGAAATTGACCTGAACTGACTTGACTTTATGTGACTATAACAACAGGCTTAATTATCAGAACACAACACCATTACACCATTATGCCTGTCAGTGACATATTCAAGGGTCAGTGAGGAGATAATAACCTGACAAATTGTTTGTTTGTGTTGGAAAAGCACTGGCTGAATGGTATTTTGAAGCGTCTTTATTAATTTAGATTTCTTTTTCTAAAACATTTCTACTTGTTGGATCAAAGACTGACGAGTGAAAAGAATAGACAAGCAGATGACACGTAGAACAAAAGACCACGATGAGGTACAGGGTCCAAATTACTATTACTATAAAGCTCTTGTTTAGTAACTCCATGAAAAAATCCAAAATTAACATTGTTGTTGAATACTTAGTCAATCTTGTCTCTTCAAATCTTCCAAATGTATAAATTTCACGACCTCAGACAAAAACAAGTGCAAGAACGTGTGCTTGCAGGCCGATAGCAGGACACAGCTCCGAAGAGGAAACATGTTTAAAGTAGTTACAGGTTAAGTTTTCATACCGTAGTGCAAGTGGCAGGTGAAGGGGGGATGGGTGACGATGAGGTGGTGGAGGTCGGTGTGCTGCTCGAGTGCTGGAAGATCTCGTCCTCTAAGTGCGAGTGTCCCGGTGGCGAGGTGGCAACCAGAGACTGAGCTGGATGGAGCAGAGACACAGAGAGGAGACAGCGGTCAGCATTGCCGTTGCGGTTCGAGGCTTCACAGTACACAGTGCTTCATAGACAGCACTCAGAGTGCGCACCCTCTGCCAAGGGGCAAGGATGTTTCCTTGTCCAACAGAGGAGACCTGATGCTGCTCTGGAGACACGTTACTGACGAGGCCCTGCTGGGGACGGGGTGGCAGCTTCCCGTAAAGCTCAGAAAAAGGACACTAGCATTCAGAAATGCAGGCGTTTTGTCTTATGAAAGCTGGTCTTGCAAACAGTGACAATGATCTCCACTACACTAAAACGACCACACTGCCACTTGGAGCTGCCAACATGCTGTCTTCTAGTGCAGCTTGAACAAAATCTGTTTCTGACCACGTTCTGAAGGTTTCTAAGCTTTTTAAAAACGTGTTAAGAAATTCCTCACTGCCAACGGCTATGTCTGTATATTTGGGTTTGCATGGCTTTTGTCTGTAGTTATTTTTCTCTTGAACTGTGCTGTTTGGTCTGTTTTGTGTGTGATTATTTTTGTTTTTGAGAAGATATGAACATCACTGCTTTACTTACGAATATCCTCCAGATCCAGGTCGTCGTATAGAAACTCATTCTCCTCAAAGTCTGGATCCTGCGACGAGTCTAGGTAGTACTCCACATCGTCCTTTGTAAACAAACACAACCAATGAAAGATCACGGGAAAGATCGTATGACAAATTTACACGAGAAGTGTTATTCTGTCAAGAAATCCTTCATGTTGAGTGGTGTATGAGGCTAACACAAGCTTATCTAACTATAAACCATATAATTGCATCATAATAAAACAGCCTGCAAAAGAATCCCAAACTAACACAGAAGTGTGAAGACATATCTTCAAAACTAATGAGAAAAGGGCAGAAAACAAGACATGAACAAACCTTGATCTTCCTGATGGCTTCCACCTGAATTGAGTCATTGTCCAGCATCCGCAGTATTGTCTCCAGCATGCGGATGTGGTACCGATGCTTCTCGATGAACTTCTTCAGCTCCTCAATCCGGTCCTGCTTCTGTACAGTGAGAACCGGACACATGAAGGGAGAGAGTCACACAAGTATAAGACGTTTTCAGACATTGTATGTGTCCAAATGCTAAACAGTTCTCTGAAGCTGCCATTAAACAGTTGTTTCTTGCACACATTTCTCAGTTTGGTTACAAAAGTTCGTCACCAACACCAACAGCACATGAAACTCATCAGTCTGGACACTTTTGAGTGTAATCTTTGGTGCAAAACCTGTCATACTAAACATGCTGGGATAAACACTACCTCATTCCAGGGGAAAGCACAACCTTAAATGAATTATTCATTGAAATAGCAAGGGACAGAGCTGTATTTACAAAGGAAAACAAGCCCAAAAGTCAACTTTGCAGTAGTTTCCAAAGTGAGTAAAAAGCATGATAAAATTTTAAAAAGGAAAAATAAAACAGAGAAGTGAGGACAGACATGAGAGCTGGAGGTGCTGCAACATGTGCACTTTTTAGCTTAATGCATCACATAGCTGCACATAATGCACAAGTGGAGGCACCAGAGTGGAACACACCCTCATCTGAGAGCTTCAAACAAACAAACTCGAGTGCTTCAGACTTGTTTTTGTTACAAGACTTGACATCATAGATGCTTTTCACCTGGTCCGAGCCAGTAAGCCAGTCACTCACCGACTCTGTGTGCAGCCACTGTTTTAAAGTAAACATCAGAAACTGAGCAAGCAAACAGCAAAACACTGGGTCAGCTAAAACTCCTGCCAGGGCAGCAGGAGCAGGGAACCCCCACCCCCCTGAACACATCATTTATAAAACATGTTGAAAACAGCCTTTTTTTCCCCCCCCAGTTGGTCCAACGCTTTAGAAACATCATCTAACATTTCACTCCAGTTTAAAATAATGTAAATGGAAAGAATTTTACTGGCCAAAACTGTAATAATTATATGTGTATATAGGATTTTTTAAAGAATAATTTCAGTTTTTCTTTAGTGAGATGTTGCTTCATCTTTTACCCATAAACTCAGAGTTGGTATGAAAACCACGTGCCTGCCTGTGTCTGTAACCAGTCACCAAGGTTTGAGCTACCTGTGGCTCCTGTCAACTGATCTTTTTACCATGCCAGAAATCTTGGTGCCATTTTTGATTTACCTTCAAGACAACACTAAGACAAGGTCTAACTCAAGTTGCACTTAATAATTCGTTTTCATTCTGGTCTCATAGACCAGATACACCTACTTAGGAAGACTGTGAGATGCGTTTAAAGTAAAATAATAACTACAGCGGCTGCAAACAGAGCAAAGTAAGAACACAAAAGAGAGTGAAGGAGAAAATAATGAATGAACTAGAGATGAGAACAGACTGACCTCCTTGTCTCCTTTCTTTTTTCTTGTCTGCACTGACAGCATCTCCACTTCACTTTCAAACTGGTCCACCTGCATGTTCAAAGTGTCTATCGTATTCTGAGGAAAAAACACAGGAATGTGAAAAAGTCTGGTTGTCACTGCAGTCGAACTGAGAAAAGGCCCAAAAATAAAATGGTTCGGACTGAAATGATTCCTCTGCCACCGAACTGAACCCACTAACTGAAAATTCATCATTTCATTCACTCAACGTTCATTTGTTCCAGCTTCACATTTGTGAGAATTAGCTGCTCTTCTTTGGTTTAGTGGAAAGTAAACTAAATAGCTGTGCATTTAAAAAGCCATTTGGAGATGTTTTAGAAAACCGTGACAGCCATTTTCTGACATTTCTTTGATTTAACAGCTAATAAAGGAAATTATCTGCTGTAATTGTTGGCTGTAGCCTGAACATACATAATGCACAATGCAACCCAGTGATAATCTCCTAGATATACAGCATGTCCCAGTGTATCACCACAGGCTACATATAAATGTAGTTTCCTGTACCAATGAACAGATGTGATCTAAGTGGCTACTAACGAGGTGCTCAGTCTTCTGTTATTGTGAAACCTGAGGCAATGTTTTGTCTTCATTTGGGTTTTGCTTCCACTTTTGTCTCACTTTCATTTCCAGGTTTTGGTAAAAAAATAACATACTCCCAGCAAAAACGTCCTTTCTAAATGAAATGCCCTCTAGCACATAAACCCGAATGTAACCAGTGAATTACAGCTGTATCTGGATCAGAGTTTTGACTGTAATTCTCATCTCTCTGTAAAGCAGTTTTGTGGTAAATGGTAAATGGTAAATGGACTGTATTTTATATAGCGCTTTCTCACAGTGTGTTGCACTGGCCAAAGCGCTTTACAGAGATGATACACCATTCACCCATTCACACACAACATTCACACACTGATGACGACAAGCTGCCATGCACCGGCGCTAGTCAAGCCACCAGGAGCAATTCGGGGTTCAGTGTCTTGCTCAGGGACACTTAGGCATGCGGGGAGACCGGGAGTCGAACCACCAACTTGCTGGTCAGGAGACGACTGCCCTACCTCATGAGCCACAGCCACCCCCAATGTTTGTCAGCTCGACCTTTATCTCCGTTGAGTAGTTGCCATCAGTGTCTTTCTCAGTCTTTATTTCGGGCAATTTGAATTGCTCTCGGGTCTCGGCTATATACGGACGAAAGCGAATGCATTTGCCAAGAATGTTTTCATTAATCAAGTTCGTTGTTGTGGAGTACTTTTAACAGTAACTTCTTATTCTATACGTTTTCAGTGAAGTCATAGTAGTATAGACTTTTGACCCGTTCTGGATTTTTCAAGTTTCTCTTGAAACTTGAAAAATGTAGTTTCCTGTACCAATGAACAGATGTGATCTAAGTGGCTACTAACGAGGTGCTCAGTCTTCTGTTATCTGATCTGTTCAGTCATCTGTTCTGTTTCAGAACAGATGTTTTGTCAACATCTGTTCTGAAATGTGTGGAAAACTGACATGACTACCATGTAAAAACATTACAGTTCCCGTCACGTGCCTGACACTCTGTACAGGAGCATAAAATGAGGGCACTCACCGTTAGCCACGTCCCGACCTCCTCCTTCTCCCTCTGAGCAGGGTCCACCTTCTGGGCCAGGCCGAGCCCCTCTTTAGAGTACGCTTTCGTCTTGGTTTCTCTTTCCCATATCT